AAGTATACACATGACTCATCTTCGCTTCGTAGAAAACCAAAATCTTTGACCTTCTCATCAAAACAAAGATTCCACCTGCGAGACGCTTGTTTTAATCCATAAATGGATTTCTCAAGCTTGCACACCCTATTTGGATGCTTCGCATCGAAAAAACCCTCTGGCTGATTCATGTACACATCCTCAGCCAACTTCCCATATCGCTGTCAATCGCCTCTTTCCAGTTAGCAAACTCCAGGCCTGCCATGGCTTCATTGTAGCTGCCAGGTTCTTCCAAATTTATCAGTGTTTCATCACTAATAAACGTATCCCCTTCAGTAGTAATATGAAAACCATAAAACTAAGGTTGAATACTAACCCTACTAGAACATCTAAGAGGTAAGGAATCATCAACGGGCTCAACAGGAGTTTCCTCCTTGGGTTGAGTGCCAGTGTTAGAGGTTCCTTCATCGCTTTGCTCTTGAATCTCTACACGATCAATTTGCCTCCCACTGTCCTCTAGGCTTATCAATTCCCTTTCTCGAAAAACTCCTCTTCTAGAAATAAAGACAACATTGTCACTCGGTATACAGAAAAGATAGCCAAAAGACTTCTATGGATAGCTAATGAAATAACACTTCTCACTACGAGGTTCGAGCTTGTCGTGAGTCTCTCGTCTTATGAATACCTCGCAACACCAAACCTTGATATGTGCCAACGAGGGAGCTTTCCCTATCCATATCTCATGAGGTGTTTTGGAAACCTTCTTTGTGGGAACTAAGTTAAGGATATGGGCTGCAGTCTCTAAGGCATACCCCCATAAAGCTATTGGTAACAAAGCCCGACTCATCATAGAAAGAACGATGTCCAACAAGGTCCGATTACGTCTCTAAGCCACACCATTCAATTGTGGCATTCTAGGAGGCATCAATTGCAAAACAATTCTGCATTCTTTTAGATAGTCGTGAAACTCAAGACTCAAGTACTCCCCTCCTCGGTTTGACCGAAGCATCTTGATTTTCCTGCCCAGCTGATTCTTCACTTCATTCTTAAACTCTTTGAAGTTTTCAAAGGTTTCTGACTTTTTATTGATTAAGTAGATATATCCATATCTACTATAATCATCCGTAAAAGTCATGTAGAAGCGGCAAGCATCCCTTGTGGTGGATCTAAAGGGCCTACACACATCAGTGTGTATGATAGCCAATAGACCCTCACCCCTATCACAAGTTCCAGTAAAGGCTGACCTGTTCATCTTCCCAAATAAACAAGATTCACACACGTCATCCTCCCTAAGGTCGAATGACTCCAACACTCCATCCTTTTGGAGTTGGGCTATACGTTTCTTGTTGACATGGCCAAGGAGACAATGCCACAAGCATGCTTTATCTAGACTAGTAGACGAATCAATATTCAACACATCATTTCCTAAATTATCAACAACCATCACAGATTCATAAATCCCATTACAAGGTAATGCATTGAAATAAAAAACACCATTCAAATAAAGATTAATAGAACCATTACTATTATCAAATGAGTATCTGAAACCTTGTCTAAACAATCCATGAAATGAAATGATGTTTCTTGTCATATCTGGCGAATAGCAACAATTATTTAAATATAATCGTAACCCATTACTCAACACTAAAGAATAAACTCCGACTCTGGTCACAGTTCCACTTACCTACTTCTTCTTAGGCCCTGCAAATCAGAACAAATGTGGAAACCACACGCTATATCAAGAACACATGAAGTAGAAAATGATGAGTTGTTAGATTTAATATAATACATACCTGCACAGGTGGGCTTTATCTTCCCATCCTTTATGTCTTGCAGATACTTGCCACAACATTGTTTCCATTGGCCCTTCTCGTGGCAATAGAAGCACTTTGCTTCCATGGGGTCAGAGGAGGGTTTAGCAGGACCTGCTTTGGTCCAACTAGAGGATGAACCGTCATAGGACTTCCCCCTTTGTTGGCTCTTTAAAGGAGCCTTCCTCTTCTTTCCCTTCCCTTGGCCAATTGCCATCACAGAACTAGCCACAGCAGGGGATGGTGCAACAAATTTGTATTTGAGGTTGCTCTTAGCAGTCCTCAGCTGTCCTTGGAGCTTACTTAAGGAGACCTCTTCCTTATTCATGTGGTAGGTCATTCTAAACTGGTTGTAGCATGAAGGAAAGGAGTGGAGGATTATGTTGATAGCCAAATCCTCATCAAACTTAACATCCAGTTTGAGAAGACGATCAACATACCTCTGCATTCTCTGTAAGTGAGAGGTTAGGGATTCTCCACTCCCCATCTTAGCGGTGATCAAGTTAGTAATGATATCATAGCGCTCTTGCCTCACGTTTTGGTGGTACATATCCAACAAACCCTGATGCATTTCATACGGATACATGTCCTTATAGGACTTTTGGAGTTCGAGGTTCATGGTGGCTAGCATGATGCAATGAACATTTGTAGCATCACGTTCTTGGGCCTCAAAGGCGGCCAACTCTTCAGGAGTAGCAACATCTGGGATGATCCTTTCAAGCTTCCCATCGAAGACATATTCTTTATCCTTGTAGCGAGTGATCATGAGAATGTACCTCATCCACTCGTTGAAATTTGACCTATCAAATGTCACCTTTTGACATAGGTTCATCAACGAGAATGACCCAGAAGCGTTGTTGTTGTTGTTAGCAGACATCTGAAAAAGAAAGGAACACAGTTTGATTAGAAATGAGTCCCTAATTAAATACCCAAATGAGAAATTAGGGCTAGGACCCAACAACATTATTTACAACTTAGAAAGGGATGTCGTACTCTAAAAGTAAATAATTTAAAGGTAAGTGAATGACGATTCACTAATTCTCATCATGAAAAACGGTAAAAAAGATTAAGTTTTAAATGTATTTGAAAGCTCCTAGATCTTTGAGATTCATTGAACTTTTCAATGGCATGTTTAAATCTCAATATGCACTTCAAATTTGCGATTGAGATGCGGAGGATCGCAAACAAGTTGTGAATAACCATGCGAATCAACATGGTGCACTCAATATCTCTATCACCTAATCAATGTGCCGGTTAGTCACACACGCTCCATTGATCTATGACAAACATTGAGCCACCCTTTGCTACCAATGTGAATCCCAAATTAGTGTGTCGGTTAACCACACACGCTCCACTAACGTTTGACAAGGGTAAAAAGTGTAATTCCATGCAATAGCATCATTTTCACATCTTACCCTAAAGTAACTAAGATTGGGAATTTGTAAAAACATGTTAGTTACTTTTTAATATTCATTATACTTATAACAAGGTATTAAGTGCCCTATCCTATCCGTTCGGCTAACGAACCTCCACCAGTCAAGCAAGCGGTGGGTGTGAGTGTACACCCATTAAGCGCCATTTTATAGGCAACAACCTTATACCCACCTTATAGACCGGATTCGTGAATGAGGCCTACTAGAGATAAGCATAGCTTTATTCTTATGCATATATATATATATATATATATATATATATATATATATATATATATATATATATATATATATATATATATATATATAAATCTTATAATAGATAAAGTATAAGGTTGATTTTTAAACTTGAAAAAAAAATCTAAGGGTTGAGATTTAAAACATTCAATAATTAAACTTTTAATCAAAGAATTTAATTTTCAAAACTTGAGTGCAAGTTTTGAACTTTTCAAAACACAAGGGATCAAATAACAAATAATATAAATCAAACAATTAATATTATGATTATCTATATCTGACCTAATCCAATTTTAGTCACAAGATAATTACCAAATAATTTAAATAATCCATATTTATCATATAAAGAAACTATTATTCAAAACACTTGAAATTATCTTTTGTTTTGGCAAGGATAATTTTTCAATAACAATAAAATTCGTATTTTATCAGTTTAAAACATATATGGCAATTATCCTTTAGCAAAACAACAAGAAAATCCAAAAATCCCACTGTCAAAAGCTCCGAATCGCCGAGTCACTCACTAGACTCGACGAGTTGGGTTGACTCGCCAAGTCCATGAAGTGACTCGCCGAGTTAGTTCGAACAGATGGCCATAAAAAGTTTTTTTCAACAAATAAACAGTTATAGCAGCATATACAATAAAAACCAATCAAGGCTCTGATACCACTAATGGGTTTTATGCATAAGAACAATCCTATTTGCTCATACGAATCCTAATGTTAGGATCTAGGTTTCACTATTGTACATGCAATGGATCCACGACTTACAACCCTAGATCTAACATGTATAATTCGAAATTAACATTATAAGAACAGATCTAAGTGTTTACCTCTTTCAAATTGCTTGGAATCCTTTGAATCTTCTTGATCTTGAGCTTAGAGGCACAATTGTAACTCCTCCAATGGTTCACAAACACCAAAAGCAAGAAGGCTATCAAGAGAGAAGAGGAAGAACACTAAAAATCGGCCCTAGGGTTTTCTTTGAAAGAAGTATCCAAAAATTGCATCCAAGGGCCTCTATTTATAGTGCAGGAAGCTAGGGTTTCAGTCTAAACCCTAATGGACAACTTAGCCACCAAGCAGCCTAAGGAACCTTCTGGAATAAGTCCCTTGGACGAAAATATGATGATCCTTCATCATAATTTCGTTCCCCCATAGTCCATTATGTTTCCTAGTCCAAAAATCAACTATCACACATTTGACAGTTTATGCCTTGTTATTTAATTAATCTCTTTTAGTCACCAAATTAATTCCTAATTAATTTATGACTAATACTATTTAAATAAATATGATTTCTACTTTAATATATTATTCTTATAATATATTAATAAACCATAATATCCTCTCACTTTCTTAGATAACCTTGTCAAGTTGCCTTGGTGAAGGCAACCCAATAGGACCATGCACAACCGGGTCAAGTACATACTAAATATAGTTACGGACTTAGACACTAATCCAACAAAAACATCATTCTCTCCATGATTGATATTTGAAAAACCAGGTGGATGAGATAGAGAATCATCCGTAGATGGGAGGCCCTACATGCGAATAAATCCACCTAAGAAACCAACTGAAGCCTGTTTATTTGAGTTTTCTTTTTCAATTTGAAGAGACCCAGAATTAACAATATGAGCAGGAATAGTGGGGGCATCTATCAGAAAGGATAAAGCAGTGGGTACTGCTTGTGGTTCTTCAATAGCAATGATCGGAGCAACATCAAAGGCCGGAACAGTTGTTGTAGTGGCTGGGAGGTCTTCAGCCGGTCCAGGGGCAGCATATGAATGAACATGTGAAGCAGCATGCAAACTTAAAGCACGACGTTCAACAGGATCATGAGGAAAAATATTTTCCATTACTGCATTCCCATTTTGCCCTTGAGGTCTTTCTCTGTTATTGTTGTATTTTTTTCCATTACCCTAGCTACTAAATCCTTTATGAATATCATTTTTGACCACATCTTTTTTCATTTTTTCAATAGCACCATAAATACTAAAAGGATCCGATGAAACCTCCTCATTCCTTTCAGAGCAGTAAGAGTTTTCTTCGTTTTGTTTAGTCTCTTGTAGTTCACTCTCGACCATATCAGGAGCATGAAAGACATGAACAAAGGGTGGGGTCCACCCTCGAGCTTCTTTGACCCTAATCAAATGTATAATCCCACCAACACGGACTTTGATTACTTCTGAAATGATAGTTTGGATAGTTGTAAGTATGTAAATCCTATTCTTGTAAATATCTTCTCCTAGGTCATCATCTAACTGTGCTATTGTTCCCCATTTAGAGAGAATTTTTTTAAATGACTCTTTACTCCAAGTAGAAAGAGAGACTGCTTCAACATCCACCCACACTATACGTTCTGATGGAATAAATTTTCGATCCCATGCTCTCTTTTCTAAAAGCCAATGATCCATAGCTTCACTACTTATAATGTTTTTGCATGTATTATTGGAATTAAATTCAACCAGCACCCACAAACCTCCAACATATTTCATCTCAAAATTATCAAAGCCCTCGTCCAAACATAGCACCCGGAGATTGGGAAGTGTAGAAAAATCTCTTTACTTAACAAGGTGTGCCCTTTGTCTTTTTTCAACTATGTAGTCTCCAGAAGGAAGATCAATGATCTCCTCCATATTAGTGTTGTTTCTCATATTATTAGGAAGGCCTCGGACGGCATTCTCATAGGATTTTACATTCACATTTCGATGAACTGTTGTGGAGTGGCTAGTAGTTTGGGGGGTACGATTATTATTTCCCAAGGAACGAGGGAGGGAGGCAAACTGGGTATATGTTACATCCCCATTTTTACGGCCAGAAAAGACCGATTTTGTTTATGCTCTATAAAAATCAGAGTACCACTTTTAATAAAAATGTTGCGGAATTTGTTCCCAGTCAAATATGATAAATACGTTATCAAAGCATTTTCGAAGAAATGTATTTTTATTCATTTTAAAACATTTGGGATGACATCGTCAATATAGAAACATAAGCATAAACAGAACTTACATTCATTTACACTAGTGATCCATATCTCTTTAATCTCTCAATGTAATGTAACTTCACATCGTCACCTGTGATACAAGTAAACTGAGTGGATCAGGTTGGGAAACCTAGTGAGTACATAGGGTTTTCAACCCACAAAATATAATTATTATGTTTAATCATCAAACAATTAACCCAATTACCCATCCTCATTATCTTCTTTATTCCTAAATACTTTCCTTAAGGATTTATCCTAAGGGTCGTCTCCTACATCATATTCACCTCTCATCTCCTTACATCGCATTTCCTTATATGTTTGTTCCTAAGGACTTTCCCTAAGAATCATCACCTACATCGCATAGACAATATTGATTCAGGGATTACTCCCTCAATACAAGGGTTATGGTATCAACGCATGAATACGTAGTTACAACATTGTCTGAACTTGTAATTCATAGTAAGGGGTTAGAGTATCAGCGCATGAATACGTAGTTACAACATCGCCTGAACTCAAAATTCATAGTAAGGGGTTAGAGTATCATCGCATGAATACATAGTTAAAACATTTCCTGAACTCGTAATTCATCTCCTACAAGTAACGAGCATGTTGGTGTTTCCACAGGGTTGTCTATAATAGTCCGTGGTTGCCATCTATACTTTGTTAGATGACTACATCTCCAAATTTCCGGACAAGGTTATAGTATATTTCATCCTACATCACCAATTCATCATCACCTATCTATCTTCACCTAATTATCATCACCGTCTTATAATCACCTATCTCTCATCAGTTTATTTTATCACACATCAACTATTTCATATACCCATGTTTTATCCTAACATATTTGTAGATTTAAAATAAATATATAGTTTAAATCATTTAAAACATGTATAAAATCATTCATCCAACATAGACAACAAGTATCCAGAAAAGATGCACACATGGCACCTAATTTATATAAACTACTTCATAAATATGTGTAAGATAAAAGTAACTATGCACTCACTTGGTAAGGTGGTGAGTCGGCACTCGGACAACACTTCGTTACCCTTAAAACATTTATCCCTTGCCGAAACCTAGTATCAGTACCACTAGAGTTTAGTGTATTGTTCACTGAGACTAATTAATAGTCTAGCTATTATTACTATTATATAAATGTTAAATGTAACAGCCGGATTTTTATTTGCTATTTTGTTTATTGTATTTTGTTGATTTGTGAGGGGGACTCGATGAGTTGGAGCTCAGACTCGCCGAGTAAGGATGCGGATTTGGATGCGGGATCGCACCTGGACTCGATGAGTCCAGGATATGGACTCAGCGAGTCAGCGCTGTCTAATGAAACCCTAATTTCTCGGGTTTGAGACTTATTTAAAGGACCTAATGGTCGTTATTTGTGCTCACCAGCCCCTTGAGTGAAACCCTAATCGAGTGTGAGCATTTGGAGCTAAGTAGGAGGCCATTTTTGACCTTGAAGGTGCCATTGTTGCAAGGAAGGCGAAGAGCTAGCCAAGGGAAGCAAGAAGGAGCCACTTCTGTGGGTTTGAAGTCCAGAGCATCACTTTTGTGGTAATAAATCCGAGTTACCTTCTTGTTTGTTGTTGTTTATCTAGATTTAGGGTTTGTTGAACCCTTTTATGGCAAGATTTAGTGTCCTTTTGGTCCCTTATGAGGTTGGAACCATAGATCTGGACCCTTAGAGGTCCAGAGTGTCCCTTTACCCAAGCTTTTTGGGAATCAATGGAGGCTTTGGATTGGAATCCTCATGCCTTAGGTCAAAAACTCCATTATTGAGCTATAAGGTGTGTTATGAGCACCAAGAGAGGAGCTTTACGTGATGAATCAGTCGAGGGAGGCCAGATCTATAGTTTTTGGAAGCAGATCTGACCTTAGAAGCGAGTTGGAGTGGTTGCATGGCATGGACTCGCCGAGTCTGTTCATCCGACTCGGCGAGTAGCTTGAAGATTGCCTTGGGACTGCTCAGCGAGTGGTCCAATCGAGTCATGGGTAGACTCAGTGAGTCAGGGTGAGTTGGAGAGGGATGACGAGTGGACTGAGTCAAACTTGGACTCGCCGAGTTGTCCTTGAGACTCGACGAGTTGAGTCGGGGTGGCCCCGCGATTCATTCAGGTGAAACTCGTCGAGTAAAGGGGGGATACTCGACGGGTAGTAAGAGGATTTCAGAGGGTTGGTGAAAACGTCTAGACTCGCCGAGTCGCCTTGGTACTCGCCGAGTCCGGTCAGAGTTGACCGTTGACCGATGACCGTTGACCGTTGACCTGTGTTAACTTCTTATAGATAGTCAACCTTAGAGATATAAAGTGTTAATTAGAAAAAAAAATGTTATAGGAGGATTAGAGCTCGGAGGATCGACCACGAGGGATTTCCAGGATTCGTGAGATACCGAGATACGCGAGGTGAGTCTTCTCACTATACTATATTACCTTGAGTAGGTAACCAGAGTTATGTGATAGAATATTTGTATGCTATGTGTGTTATGTGTTGTACTGCATTATTTCTATGTGATTCATGTAGTGCATGTTTATCAGAGTTAGAACCTGAGGGTTCACAGAATTTGGGTGCACGGACCCACAGAGTTATAGCCTCGAGTGGCTAATATGTGTTATATGTGGTATTTTGGGGAACTCACTAAGCCTTGTGCTTACAGTGTTTGATGTTATTGTTTCAGGTACTAGTGACGACCGCGGGAAGGCGCCGGCTTGATCCGTACACACACACTCGGAGTTTTTACATTGTGATCTTGGGATTTTGTATTAACCTATATTGGATAATTAATATGGTTGTTTGATGAATATTAATCGAATTATGTTTTATAAGAAAATCGAAAAATTTGTTTTGAAATTTACGGTGTTACAATTTGGTATCAGAGCCTTGGTTTGAGGGATTCGGGTACACCTTCGTGAGTATTTGAACTCAAACTGAGGAATTGGAAAAATATTTTCAAAAGAAAACCTAACTTTTCTAAGAGTAAAAGATTTTCTTGAAAAAGAAACAAATTCTAGGAAGAAACGTGTGTACGATCAGTCAGCGCCCGAACGGTGAATTCCCAAAATACCTTTATATTACGTGATATTAATATTGATATGATGTATCTGCATGCTAGAGTAGGCTAGGTATTGCTAATAGGACTAGAGTGGCCTGATTTGTGATGCCTTAGCCTAGGGAGGGGTGAGCTGCTATGAGATGCTGAGAGTGAGTAGGTAGCAGCAAGGGGTTTATGAGAGATATATTAGAGAGTGGTCTGCGCATGATAGAGTACTTAGGAATTGGGATCCAAAGAGGAAGGTTTGGGGTGTGTACTGAGACGGTGTGGACAGTAGTATTGGGCCCGTACTACTGAAAGCACCGGGGCAGTACATAGTCCAAATAAGAATCTTGGGATACCAAGAATCAAGGAGGGGTGGATTGTCGAGTGTAAGAATGTTCGAGTGAATTCTAATTTATCGCATGTTGTATTTCAGAGGTTGATCATGGTGAGGACACGTCATATGCCGGAGGGTGCCGGAGCAAGTGATGAGGAGATTCGACAGATCATTCATGAGGAGGTGGCTACGGTCATCAGAGCTGAGATACCAGAGATGTTCGGGTCTATTAAGACCGCACTGATTGAGACATTCGACGAGCGTTATGCCGCTCTTTCTGAGGCTGCTGTTGCAGCGGCTACCGCAGCGATCGCTGCGGCGAGACCCCAGGGAGGTGATGCGTCACTGTTTCGGGAGTTCAGCAACACCAAACCACCAGAGTTTGATGGTACACAGGATCCGGTGGCAGCTATGAGGTGGATATCTGATATGGAGGGGTGCTTCTTCACTTGCTCATCCCCTGAGCATCTGAAGGTTCGGTTCGCGCTGAACTAGCTTCGCTTGGGAGCGAAGGACTGGTGGAAGTTTGTGACGGCGCATTTCACGCCTACTGAGCTTTCGGCGGTGACCTGGGAGAGGTTCACTACCAAGTTCCGAGATGAGTACGTTCCCCAGGTGGAGAGGGAGCGTTTGGCACAGGAGTTTCTGACCCTCAAGCAGGGTACTGAGTTAGTTACAACGATCACGAGGATGTTTCACGAGAGGGCGATGTTCTACCCTGAGCACGTGTCCACTGAGTAGGCACGTATGAGCCGCTACCTGAGTATTTTGAGACGGGACATTCGGGAGTTCGCCGCGAACTCCTCGTATCGGACATTTGCTGAGCTTCAGGAAAATGCCCGGAAGAGGGAGATTGAGCTTGAGACTCTGGCCAGGGAGGAGGCGGAGTCTTTGGGGAGGGATCGGCGGCCGGCACAGCTCCAGCCGGCAGCCAAGCGGGCCAAGCCCGCTGATCCCAAACCCGGGAGCCAGAAGGGCCGCACTTGCGGGAAGTGCGGCAAGGGTCACGATGGAGTCTGTCAAGCAGGATCTTGCTACAAATGTGGCA